CAGCAAAATATGTGACTGCCAATTCTTATTTGTGATTCTTGCAACAGTATCCTATTCCTATGTCATACCTATTTAAGCCTAAATGCCTGGGCTAAAGTGAAGTCATACCTTAAGAACATTTCCTCTTCTGTTCTTCTTCAAAAAAACTTTTTGCTTCAGCATTGTCTGCTAGGTAGGTGATCAGTTACACCCCAAAAGTCTGAAACACAAAAGAGACCATCACTCCATGAAAGGTGCAATAAACATAGATAACTTATCAAAAATCATGCTTGTCTTGCTAAAAGGAGTAAGTACTTCTCATTAACCCGCGCCCGGCTGGGGGTCCTGGATTTCCACGCCCTGCTGGGGGGGGGGGGGTGTTTGAACACCCCCCCCCCCCTGTAACTCGGCTCCTGGGCCACGTAGCGATACGCGGAAGGCGGCGTTCGAAAGAGCGTCAAAGCTAATGACGAAATCACTTCGGTCAATTTTTTGGTCAGGTCAAAGGTCAGGTCACCAGAGGTCATTGAAGGCAAAATTTCGCCGATTTCCAGGTCGAATATCGAAAATTTCCAAGAAGCCAACGCATAACTCGGGAACCAATAGAGCTACAGCGCCGCGGAAAAGCGCATTCGATAGCCCTATTAACGCCCTTTCTGAGTAATCCTCTCAGATTTGACCTAACGTCAACGGTTTTGCCTGCAGGGGGCAAAAACTGCAAAAATAGCCGATTTTTTCGGAAACAGTTTTTCGGCAATAACTTTTGACCCAAGCCTTGTACGAGCTTACTTTTACCGGCATCGTGTTCCTCTCGTCAAGACGCATCGAATGAACTATAACTTGACCTTGAAAGGTCAACTTGAAAATTTGACCTCAGGTCAAGGTCATGACCTGACCAGAAAGGGTCATGTTGCATATCAGTCGATCCGTATCGTCGAGCTGAACACATCTAAGGCGTTTTCATCGCTCTAGCATGCCTCTATCAAAAGTTATTTGCGAAAAACTGTTAGATACCATTTGTGACCTAAGATGACCTCAGGGCATAAACAAGGGTCACGGACACCATTTTCATGTTCAGTGTGTCTAAACCACTTGTAATTCGGTGTTTGGGAGTGTTTATAATGTCTTTCGGCCAAAAGAGGCGCATTTCAATTTTCTCCCATTGACTTATAATGGGGAGGTCGCAAAATTGACCTGACCTTAGGTCATCGATATCAAAATTCTGAGATATACATTTTGTACACGCTGTTGCTCTTAGCAATCGCTGAAAGTTTCAAAGCGATCGGTCACTCGGTGTAGCTATGACAGACATTGAAACTTTTTATGAGGTGAGGTCGCTTCAAGTGACCTGGTGACCTGATCTTGAATGACCTTGGTCTGAAAGTTTCACAACATGTGTAGAATTGATGTATGATAAGGTGTACCAAAAACGGCGGCGCGGAGCGCCGCCGTTTTTGAGATATTCGCGAAAAACCACAAGGGGGGGGGGTGTTCAAACACCCCCCCAGCAGGGCGCGGGTTAAACTAGCATTTGACCTTGCAAACAAAATGCAGTATTTCTGTCTTAGTGATATAGCAAGGCCACCTATCTTTCCATTACAATTTCACATTCAGATCGATCACGGATATTACATGAAGAGGGAGATATTCCAGGTTTCAGAATTGCCAAAAATGACCACACCTAAAGCTTTTGAAATAACTTAACATAAACTTAACTATTCACAATTCCAAGAAATCAGGAGAGAGATCTTGGTTAGCCTCAAAGTACCTCCCTAGCTAAGACTAGCACAAATCAGGAGCTTGTGTCATGTGTGCCTCAATAATCATCCTATGCAAATTGCAAATATATTCAATTCTTTGTAAAAAAAAAAAGTGCCTATAGAGTGTAGAGGAATGTGTCACATGTAGAGGAATGCCAAGAACGCAGCCTGAGCCACCTGTCACAGAGGCTAAGCTCAGCCAATCAGCATGCAGTTGCTTTTGAAGTACGCAATATGATTTATGAACATGTTATAAGCTTCCGTGCCACCACTATTTCAATTTAGCCTCTATCAAAGATGGAGTATAGTTCTTCCTATACAAAAATGGTTTAAAAAACTCCTTTTGAAAATATTTATTATTTCTTTTCTGATCATTTTAGGCATAAGAACTATTAAACTGTAGCAAAAAACTAAACTGAGGAAAGTGGTACATTTCCTTTTAAATATGAACAATTAAACCATCAATCATATGTGAGGTTTGTGAGCAGTGCCACTGCCTTATTTATGTAGGATCATTGTGCATTTTGCATATTTTGTAATCCACAGACCGGAGCTATCTGGTGTAAACTATGGGCAGGGGCACACATTTCATTTTTCAATGTTGATGTTATAAAAAGCATGGAAGAGGTTGTGGTATTTAACAATTTAGCCAAAATCACCAAGCCTAGGCTAAATAAATCAAAATGGCTTATGTAAGTTCTGTAGGTAAATACATACCTACAGTATGACCCAGCACTTATTGCTAGATCCCCATTTGGCAGTCGGCACCCAATCTTATCCCAATGACAACACTCCACTGCTATTGACTCCTCCATTACAAATCTGATAGTGATTGAATGGTTTGAATCGTTTTTTAGCATGACTTTTATTATAATTGTAGAAAAATTAATAATGACCTGTTTGTTGGCTTTTGCTCATAACTTAGGATTTAGGAAGGAAGGAGCAGAAGGAGCCAAAAACAAAAATCCATGGACTTATTTTTGGCTTCCTTCATTATGACCAAAGGGCTTATTATTCATTCAAATGAAATGAGCACAAGAAAACGTTGAAATCGATATACATCTTCACCAAACTCTTGACCAGTCACTCTTAGAAAATAAATTAATTTGCTTTTCGTTTTCAACACACGCGTTGGGACTGCGCGACGCGCGACACATCATGACGCGCCAAATATGTATGATACGCGGCAGAATTGAAAAAGAACTAAAATACAGCCAAATTTAGATGCGAACACTATTCAACCGCCATCCGTGCAGCCATCCTATATGAACCATCTGGCTCATCAGGACTAAAGTCTAAAATCGCACTGTTTTAATTATATTGGCGATTTGGCCACATTTTTGAATATGGTGATTGGTGACCTCGGTGACCAGTGGCGGCGGAACACCTTCACTGGGGGTGGGCACTGCCGACTTTCTGTCCCATTCTTTCCATGCAACGCCCATAGGGCTTATGTTAAACTGCCAAAATCAAAGGGGGCACGGTGCCCCGGTGCCCCCTCGTTCCGCCGCCTATGTCGGTGACCTCGAGGGGTCAGGCGTTTTCGCTTACGGCGAGTTATTAGTTATTACTCAGCAAGTAGCAACCCAAACCACCGGCCCAAGGCCCCGCCCCCAAATCACCTCCCGATCCGGATCGAGACGAATATGCGGGCGTGCACAGACATCCTGCGATTCATCTGCAAGGCATTCTCCCACCGGTACCGGTGAGTCCCCGGACACAGCATCCACGGTACCTAGCTAGATCCCAGGTTGTCAAGAATTCAATCTAGGCAAGTAGGTACCGACACATTTTATTGCATCATCGTATAAAGCACGGTTATGATCCGTCGTATAAGTAACATAAGTGTGTGTAATGTGTATACTATTTTTAGCTTTTGTTCAACCATGGCATGTGCCTCCATTGGCATGAAACAGATGAAATGAAATGAAATGAAAATGAAAATAGCATGAATTAAGTATTTCCGCACGCGTAGAAATCTACTGTGGTGCGTCTACTGTCTGCCGTTCTGCCCGACAGCACCTCCAGTCTGGCGTCGGCAGCGCGTCTGCAGACAATAATTTGAGCTCTCCGCCGGCGACATGAACCGTTAAACTTCCCGCAATGTCGCCAGGAAGACTTCGATCGGCTTGGCCGACCAGACCGCAATCGGGTTTCAGCGTTCAGCGACAGGTTTGGCGAGAACGACAGCGTCTTCGAGTCCGGCCCTTGGCGACCACGAATACGGACTTAGACCTTAGAGTAAGATGATCCTGGCAACCACTCGCCTGTCTAGCGACACGGTGCTCCCCTTAGCCCAAAGTTAGGCCAGCTGTGACCCTCCCCGTTCCCTCTTAGCCATTAGCTGTGCCCATGATACACAAATCCTTTTCCTCAAACCTGAGGTCTCTGTTTCGGGCCGGATAATCTTGCCAAAAAGCCCGTCGTGAAAACGGCTATTACCTACCTATGTAGATATCCCGAGTCCCTAAAATCGTCTCATTAGACAGAAGGGTCTAAAAAACTTACTTATTGGTGATCCGGGATACAGTGTGGTGTCCCGTCTAATTCATCGTAGTGTCATCTGACAGCTGACCTAAGGCAAAGCATTAGTGACCCACTGGACCCAGTGGAAGGCCTTCTGCCCTAGTGTTGACCCCGTGGTGACTATAGTGGCCCAGTGATGTCTCCTATCCCCACTGTATGCAAGGACCGCAAATAGGTATACGGATGACTCGGTAGTGTTAAGTCGGTACTTCCACAGTTCATACCCGTGTAGCTAATCGATCGTTCCGTTTGCCCATAGGATTTTTTTTTTTTTTTTTGTAGTTCACTATTGTGCTATGGAAGCTAGTGGGAAATTGTGTCATAGGTAATTCCAAATACGATTACATCATACTATTTTCTTTTGATCGTAAAATTGGCGATACCAACGCTCATAAAAGCAACATGACTCATGTTATCTATGCAACGATATAAAACTACTTTTTAAGATTCCGGTGTTCTTATCGGAATTTCGAATAAGAAGTCCTATTATATTAGGAAAAGGGAGTAGGTACGTTTAAGAGCAGTCAGTTAATTTTTCTCGACACTGCCTTTTAAAAACAACGACGGGTAGGCACTGGCAACGCCAGGCGATGGGTCGCATGGTATATCATTGGCAGCACCAGACGCCTGCTTGGTGCTAAGCTGACACGGCGGTGCCCACGAACACCCACTCTTTTTTTTCTAAAGTCATCATTTCTTATACGTGTACCAAGCAGTAACCAGGCGAAATACCCATTGATGTGGAGTGAGGTGTTTATTTTTAGATGAAGCAGGCGTCATTTCCTCAATAACCTAGGGCGATACACGTCACTTACAAAGCAGTAGCGCAGGTAACGGCGGTGAGCGCGGCATCCTGCCAGCCGGTGGTCTGGCCAGTGGGGGAACATACAGGCCAGGACACCGCGTCCAGCGCCGTTAGGACGCGCGAGCGCACTCCTCCATCAGCACATCATTCACGGCGTCAATGAGGACGGCGGGGGCGTCACATCACGCCGAGGTCCGCCATCCAATCACGATCACAGGGAGCTGCCGCGTCCGACGGCACTGACGCAGCTCTCCCGGTGAAATAAGCACACGGCATCTCTAAATAGCAAAAGTACAAAACTGCGGCGCAGTCTGCGGCGGCGGCCGTCTCCGGTTTCACTCGGTCACCGGAGAACGGTTACGGCCCGTGCCGCCGCGCGCCCGGCCCGGTCCGGCCGGCCGGGCGCTACTACTGCCGGCTCGAGGACGGCTCGGCGGTCGGCGCGGTGTGCGCGTGCTCGAACAGCGACGGATCCGTGTAGATGGGCTCGCTGGGGTCGTCGAAGCGACGAGCACGCGGCGCCGGCGGACAGTCTACCTCATAGGCTGGGTTGGCGCTGCCCTGGGCCGGGAAGCTGCGACCCATCGCCGACGACCTGCATAAAGGGGAACGCAAATTATTAATTACGAAAAAAAAAACATTTTTGTAGCTAGGCTTTTATTCAAGCTAGGTAAATAAGAGTAGGTAAATTCAGCCTGCAGGCATCGATCAAATATTAGAGACGTCAGACCATGGATAGTTAACTTAATTTTCCATTTAGGCATCTGTTCCCATTGCTGTAGTCAATCCAGTGGAAACCTTCTAGTTCACCCCCAAAAGCATCGACTATTAGACCTGATATTTTTACTTCAGTGATGGAGCGTTGTTGATAGATATAAATAACTGTTTCCCGGGCCACAAACACTCGCTCGGTACCTGCTCTAGAATAAGTAGCCGATGAAACGGGCGTAGGCTCACTTACGATTTTCCATGCAGGAACGAGAAGGTATTCTTGGCCACCCCTGCGGCGGAGAAGCCGCGCGGCAGTGGTGACGCCATGTCGGCCTCGTGGTTCTTGTAGGCGATGAGCCGGCTGCGGCGGCACCAGAGTCCGGCCAGCAGGGCGGCCAGCACCATCACCACCATCAGCACCACCAGGGTGGCCAGCAGGCCGTGGTACTCGGCCGACGAGATGCACACGCTCTCGATGGCCTTGGCCTCCTCGGCCTCGACCTCGTCACGACTGTAGTACACCTGTGGGGAGCAGCAGGCGCCCGTGGTTAGACAGGAACTGTTAAACAGCCCAGTGGCAGCTAGGGCGATTGTCACAAGCCCAGAATGCGGTGAGAATGTGATTAAAAAGGCAAAAGCAAGTAGTTCATATCTGAGCTCAAGAACGTCAGTATCGTGCCTAAAGATTCGATCCGGTAGATAAAAAGCCGACGGCACTTACGCTGAGCAGCTGCTTGACGTTCTCTCCCTCATCCTCCGGGTCGCCGAGGTCCTCGTCCTGCGGCTCCACGGGTAGCTGGTTGGGGTCGGGCAGCACGGGCTCCGGGGTGGGCTCAGCGGCCTCCTCTGGCACCGAGCGGCGCCGGCGGCGGCCGAACGACGGCTCCTCGCGACCGTTCACCGCGCAGGTGGCCTGCGATGGATACATATACGTCAGTATACATACCTCACTCACTGGAGCAGTCACAGGCAAGACACAGTCACTGCCGGTCAGATATTGCTAATGTCAGCAACACAGTTCATACCACATAGTTGTATTGCCTGTGCCATTGTCAGGAGTCACTGTCACAACTCTGTCGGCAGGGTATGATTTGTCACAGCCTACAAGTTCGAACCGTTCAACCTACGCACTACCTACCGGCTGACAGCCGGGCCGGCGGCACGTGCGCACGGTGGCGTAGAACATCAGGTAGTTGGACTCAGGGATCTTGAAGGCGCTGAAGCGGGCTTCCAGTCCGTTTCCGTCTCGCGCCAGGCCCAGAGACGGGAAGAGCAGCGGGTCGGTCGGGCATCTGTCGATAAAAACGTTCAGCGATGAATACACTCGACTCAAAAACCGACTCAAGCAGTAGCATACGCAAACGGACAATGCATCTCATGTGCAAAACCGACACATTCAACCGTTTTACTGCAGAGTGTGCATGCATGCATACGCTGCTCTTCTTGCTGTACCCACCCGTAGCTGTCGATGAGCTCCACGGCGCGGCCCGAGTAGGGGTCGCGCGCGATCACGTTGGTGGCGTAGATGTCGGTGCGTAGGTTCGCTCCGGACTGCGTCTCCAGGCGGAAGGTGAGCGGATCACCGACAGCAATGGTGGTGGTCGGCCGGCCCTGGTACAGAATCGAGAGACGAACCCGCGAGTCGACCACCTCACGAGCCGGCAGGTCGATAATGGGCGTCACCTGGCCGGGGCTGCAGGTGACAGGGGTAGCAACGGGTCTCAGACGGGTCTAGCAACGGTCAGCAGGCCCAGATGCGGTTCGGGCTACTTTGCGCTTAGGTATGAATATTGGACGGCTCACCCACTCACTCATGGCTAACTCACCCATGACTCATTCATTCATTCATTCATTCATTCATTCATTCATTCATTCATTCATTCATTCATTCATTCATTCATTCATTCATTCATTCATTTATTTATTTATTTATTCATTCATTCATTTATTTATTCATTCATTCGATTATTCATTCATTCATTCATTCATTCATTCATTCATTCATTCATTCACTCACTCACTTATTCATTCATTCATTCATTCATTCATTCATTCATTCATTCACCCACTCACTCTCACTCTTCAACTCACTCACCTAGCTGACACGTAGCCAGAAGTGACCACGGCCTCGCCGGGTCCTTGGAAGTAGCAGGTCAGGTTGTAGCGCTTGTCGAAGTTGGTCTGCACGATATCGCTGAACTGCACGACCACGATGTTCTGCATGGTATCGCCGTCCCGGAACTGGAGAAACGTCCACACGGAGTGGTCAGCGTGCGCAGAGGATGGGATAATGGCATATAACTAACTAGGAAATATTCAACAGACGATAAACAGTGCATTGAGTATCTAGGTCGCCGTGAAATGAGTGGGTACTGAAATGTGTGTAATGCGAATAATACCGAACTTTTCACCGTGTATGGAAACATATTTTCCACGTACGGGATATTTCTTCGTCAGCTTATCAGGTTTTATGTGACATTCTTTTACGCTATCGGGCCTAATTTCGTTTCGATAATTTTCCGATTTCCACTCACCATTTGTGTGCCACAGCCGTGCGCCGGGATGAAGAGCGAGAGGTCGCGGCTGCCGCGGCCCAGCACGCTGCACGAGTCGTAGTGGCGGTACGTGTACATCCGTCCGTAGAACGGCCGGCGGGAGAGCAGCTGCAGCCGCATACCGCGCTCGTTACAGGTGGCCGTCACTGTAGAGAGACAGACACACAGTTAGCGTCACTGTCACAGTGCAGAGGTCGTCAGTCACAGTTACCGTCACCGTCTTCGACACACCGGTCCTGTCAGCGTCACTCTCAATGTCGGAAGTCAATAGGACGGTACTGAATCAGGCTGTGCTTTATTAATCTTAATAGTTAATAATCATTTTATATCAAGATAAACAAATAATTGTTCTCCGCCATTTTATACCCGAGCACCTCTCCAGCACTCACCGTCTCCTCCCTCGGTGCTAACGAAGCCCTGCTCGGAGAAGCCTCCGCCTCCGCCGACAAAGCCACCGTCACTTCCGAAGCCGCCTCCCGATCCAAATCCACCACCGCTTCCGAATCCGCCGCCTCCTCCGAACCCTCCATCGGGGCCTCCGAACCCAGCGCCTCCGCCGCTGCCGCCGCCGAAGCCCGGCCGGGGGCGGTCGGGACCGGCCGGCAGCTCCTCGCAGTCCTCCACGCGGACACGTTCGTAGTAGTCGTAGTCGCGGTCGAGCTCGTAGATGTCAGCGGAGCTGGAGCGGCTCATGTCGCCGGCGGAGAGCTCACAGTTGTCGTTAGACGCGCTGCCGGACGCCAGACTGGAGGTGCTGTCGGACAGAAAACTGTCAGCAGGCTGCCCACGCATGCAGAGACAACTTACACGTAAAAACAGCAACATGTGCCGCTATTTGCCGAGTTCGAGTCGATGAAAGACTGGGGAAAGCCGTATCCGTTCTCACCTGTACCGGTAGGAGAAGGCCTTGCAGATGAAGCCCAGGTTGTCCGTGCACGCTCGTTCACAGTCGCTCAGAGACGACACCGGCAGAGTCTTGTCGACAAAGCTGGAGCGCATCCTGCGGCCTGTCTCCTTCAGCGTAAAACGGTCTTCGTAGCAGTTTCGCGCGCGGCCGCCGCTGCCGCCGCCCGGGCCGTCGTCTCCCCAGCGGCGGCCGCCGCTGCTCCAGCTGCCGCCGCCGCCCCAGCGGCCACTGCCGCTGCTCCAGCTGCTGCCTCCGCTGCTCCAGCTGCCGCCGCTGCCGCCCCATCTGCCGCCGTCGCTCCAGCCGCCGCCGCCGCCGCCGAAGCGGCCGCTGCCTCCGAAGCTGCCCCGTCGGTCGTCGTAAGGCCCGTCACGGTTGTCCCCGCCGATGAACTGGTCCCGTCCGCCGGGACCACCTGAAGCACGGCCGGAACACAGCGGTACCCGGTCAGACATTAAAGAAGGTAAAAGTGTTCGTAAAGCAACATGCGTAAAGCTGAAATTGTTTGCCGAGGAAAAGCTGCGTGAAAGCGATGCTGCTGCATTTTTTTTGTAAAACAACAATTCATTGGGACGTACAAATCAAATGCACAAACATTAGTTATCAAAACTCACGCAGGTTGCGGAAACGACGAAATAAATGACACGGTGCAATCAGAAACAGTTCACATCGATTCAAATAACGTTGATTATAAAAAGTTCATGACACATGATTAACCATAAGTCGATATGAAATAAATGAATCACTTATTTGAACGGAATCATGGAATACGGTCATAAACATCGAAAATCGTGCGTTGTGCGATGTGCGTCGTAGCAATATGATTCATGCTCATTTCAAATAAGACGGTGAAATAGTTATTATGTAGTTTCACATGTATAGGTATTTGAAGATATCAAGAATAACTACGTTAACTAGGCTGTCCAGTGCCCAGAGTCAACTGATAGAAATTTTGGGAATGCGTCACCCCAACGAAAATAACAACGGACGGGAGACACCGGTCATCAAATAACGTTTGTAAGAAATTCATTATTTACATCTGGTTAGGTAAGCGAGGGAATAAAGATAGCACAACAAAACGACGCATATCACAAGACGACTAGTTGTCTTGTGATATGCGTCGTTTTGTGATATGATAATCGTCTGTGTTGAATCTATTATTTATGTATTTAATTTAATGAATCTATTATTTGTGTATGATAATCGTCGTCTTGTGATATGATAATCATCCAGTTGCAACTGGATGATTCGACAATGAGCGAAGAGCGTGAATAAGACATTCGGAGGGAAGACAATTGAATGAACGGTGACTGCGACGGGATACAAAGTGCACCCGGCGTAGTAGGACCGTATTTTCCCACTTTCTCAGTCTGTTTGCGATGTTTAACCCGCGCGGGGCTGGGGTCTCCAGCCGAACGCGCGGGGCTGGGGGGGGGGGGTAAATTTTACCCCCCCTGTTATCTCCCGAACTAATGGTCCGATTTGGAAAATTCAAACGCCAATCGAAAGCTCTCATCACGAACTACTAAAAACATGTACTTAATTTAAAGTTTGAGGTCAAGGTCAAGGTCAGGTCAAGGGTACAAATTGCAAGTTTCTACAGTATCGGCCTTGCACCGTAGTTGCCGAAGAATGGAGTCATGGACTGAGACTGATCGCCCAAAACGTGTTCTTAGGCTACCAAGACAATATTTGTTGCATACAATATCATTCAGAGGTCAAGGTCAAGGTCAGGTCAGGTCAGGTCAGGTCACCAAAAAACAAAATATAGAAAAGGGCATGTGCGACACATGTTTTATGGGTCATTTTACTCATAGAATTCAATAGGCACACTCAATAAGTGATATGGACCACCTCTGGATGAATTTCAGGTCGAGGTCAGGTCAAGGTCAGGTCAAGTGAGGTCAAATTTTGAAGTTGGTTGTTAAGGCCTAAAAAGGTGTCTATCTGATGCAGTTTTTCACGGCGAATCGAATGGTGCTACTTTTATTTCCGTACGAGGTCTAGAACTTCCAAAAAAGTCATTTTTCAAAAATTTTGTGTGTCGTGACGTCATAAAATTTTGAATAACTCCCACATTTTTGAACCGATTCTTCTAAAATTTGGTATGTAGGTGCACATAGACCACTTCTCTGACATATATTCCGGTTTTTTTCGATAGACTCAAAATTTTGGATTTTATAATGATTTTCCCAAAAAAGTCAGTTTTTTGAAAAAATTTAGGCCAAAATCCAAAATTTTCAAAAAACCGAGATAGCCATTTGATAGACAAAGTAAAATAACGTATAACCTTTTTTGTTACGTCTTGATTCCTTTAAAAATGAAGATGTTAGCGGCGTTTGAACTTTTGCCGTTTTTGAGGCGAAAATGGCGAACATGACGTCACTAAAACGTCAATTTCTCAAAAATTTTCCGACAGATTTCGCTCAAATTTTCAGGGAACGTGTCAAATTGATGTAAGAAAAGGTACTGAAAGTTTGGCGGCGCTGCGCGCCGCCGTTTTTGAGATATCGCAAAAATTCGCGAGGGGGGGTAAAATTTACCCCCCCCCCAGCCCCGCGCGGGTTAAAAAACTATGAGGCGCATGATGATGATAAGTGAATGTTAGTAATCAAGTTAGAAATGTAGAACATTGTATACGAGCTTACACGAAAGTTTTAAAAATGCATGTGTGTAAGAAAGCGTTGCAAGAAGCCCACATGCACAAACTATAACCAAGAAGACAGAAGACGTTTTGAATCAATAAGACTCAAAATTAGTTCTGCAGGAAATAGTTCACTTTAAACATGTCCACGGAGATGGGAATCGAACCAAGATTCAATGGGAAATATTATAGTGTTCAGTACAACATCATGAATAAAAGTTTGACATTTTTTAGATAATAAAAGATCAAATACGTGAAGACCTGAAGTAGTGACAGATGTTGGGTAGCTTACGTTGTGTTTCTGTGGTCTGAGATATCTACGTGCGATTAGTTGATATTTCCAGTTGTCTGTTACATGCCATAACTGCTGGACAATTGATCGCAAGGAGAACGGCTCAACTTACTAAGAAGAGAGTTATCAATCAATTGCAATAAGAGGAATACGACTGCCCATTTAAAATACACGAGGTTGCAAAGCTTTCCGAGATTGACGTTTAGACTGCTTTTTCAAGTGCACTGGTCCATGGCTTTAGTTACGTAGTATGGAGTCATGCAAATATGATATCTTTACTCAATTTTTAATCTAAAAGACTAATAGGCATATTCCCTGATTAAGTTATGGTTGGGTCCGAACTGCGGGATAGTTATGTACTCCTTCGAGTTACCGACCACCTGTTTTTAATTTAATCTACATAGGTACATGATTTTAAGTCGTTAAAATCCCCAATTCAATGTTAAAAGTGAACTATTTCCTACAAGCGGAACATGCAAAAGTCGATCAGGTGGCATTCATTAGAGTCCAACACTACTCAGATCTCATGCTACGTCGTCAGTTTTTTTTTTTTGGACAAAATATGTATACTCGTAGATATCCAAATGATGAATAATCCTTAAATGGAAAATTCATTCTATGCAAGGCAATTTATTTCTAATCAATTTTGCGATGAGCTGTTCGGTAACTTTCAGCAATGAAGGTGGCAAATTATTACTAAGTCATCTAGATGCTATATATGTTACGTACCGAAAAATAAAGTGATATAATTTCAACATAAGAAGTACTTAAATTTCGAATGACTTGCAGCAAAAAAAAAGACTAAACAAATATTGAAACGCTTTAAAAAGCTCATTGTAATTGTTTCAGGGTGAAAATGAGGCCATGAGTAATTCAATATGTTGTGAACGTCACATATTCATCTTAAGATTACACGAACGAGGAAACGTCTCAAGCCAATTGGCACTTTAATTTCCATCAGGTCAATGTTTTTTATCCTCGTATGAAGAGCACGTTAGATAAGTAAAAACATCGTCTTTCGGGCGACCAAACTGCCGCAGTTTGTTGCAGAGGAGGGCCATCAGCCGGGCATGCTCGGATTCGTCCGGCCGGGGGTTGGAGCAGTCTGTTCGAGCTACCGTCCGTCGTTGGCGCCAGCCACCGGCTCGTCTCGCGTGCTGCCGACTACCAGTTGAGGGCTCTGCTCTGTGGCGCCCTCGGCATGCGCAGCCCGCATCCAGCGTGTACCTAGCTGTCGGTCGGCCGGCGGCCGGTGCGTGTCGCTGTCGTTGCGCTGCAGTGCTGCCCCGTCCGACTCCAAGGCGGCAGCGTCGGCCGTCTCCGAGCCACCGCCGTCACCTGCCCGAGAAACAGAGAATCGGTGCGCACCTGGGCGGCCGCCGCGCCGGCCGTCGCTCCAAGAGTCGTCCCAGCCGCCGCCCTCGCGGATCACGTTCGAGCGCCGAGAGCCGTCCGGTCGGAAGACGCCGCCGCCGCCGCCGCCGCCGGCTGCCCAGCCGCCTGTCGGCCCACCGGGGCGTGAGCTGTCTCCGCTGCTCCAGGATCCGCCGCCACCGCTCCACGATCCACCGCCACCGCTCCACGATCCACCGCCACCGCCCCGCGAGCCGCCATCATCGCTCCAGGAGCCGCCGCCGCCGCCGCCGACCGGCGGCAGGTCGTCAGCCCTGGGGTCCTCGCCGCCCTCATTGACCAACACGACAGTCGGCTTGGGTGGCGGTGCCTCAATCGGAACGGTGTTGCTTCCCAGCGGCCCGCCACCGGCGCCGGCGGGAGGGGCACCGCCGCCGCCTCCACCGCGCCACCCGCCACCGCGCCCCGACTGGCCAGAGCCGCCCGAGAAGGGGCCTCCGCCCCCGCTAAAGGTACCTCTGGACTCGTAAAAGCCGCCGCCGCCGCCGCGGTAGTTGCTCTCAAATGAGCCGCCTCCGATGAACCGGTCGCGGCCGGGGCCGCCCCGTCCGCCGCCCAGGAACTGGTCGCGACCGCCGCCGCCGCCGCCGAGGAATTGGTCGCGGCCTCCGCCGCCACGGAAATCGTCCCCGCGGCCGCGGCCGTCGGCAAAGAAGCCAAATCCGCCACCGCCGCCGCCGCCAAACCGACCTCCACGGCCGTTGAAGGGGGTATCTGCGAAAGAGAGACAAAATCGTGAAAGTGCTACAAGTGGTGCGTTCACAAAATGGTCTGCGTATTTACGTACAATGAGATTGACATACGCTACGATCAGCAGCCATTCCCTTCGCTAGATTAGAGCAAATAACCGATCAGAGTGCGAGCTGTCCAACCTACCTCCGAGCAGGTTATCGTAGTAGTCGTAGTCCTCGTGGAAGACGAGCCTGGCACGGCCGTTGCCGCCACCGTCCTTGGTGTTGTACATCTCGCACAGACCGAACCGCTTGCTGAAGACCATCGACTGACATCTGCGGCACCACAGCACGCAACTCGGTCAGAAACGACAGTCCAGCCGTCTAAAAAGTCATCGGCATCGACATTCCGTATCTGATCGCCTTTACTTATGCTGAAGACCCTATTTGCCTGATTACTTTTCCTATTATTTTCTTAGTATCCACTCCCACAACAGATTAAAACTGTGACTCGCTATTCCACACCAGTGCGTGTGGGCCACTTACCCGGGTGTCTGGAGACACGCCAGCATGCAGAGCCGGGCAGAGTACTGCTGGTAGCTGTAGATTGGATTGGGTCCCTCCAGCCGGTTACGGCTATAGCGCCGGAAAGCAGTGACGTACTCGCGGTCCGACTCGCGGTAGAGACCCTCCCTGAGAGCGGAGGAGCGGCGGGCATACCCGAGTCACAAGCCAGAATCGGCCGAACGTGGAAAGATGTACATCGGGGTCTTTGATGGAGAATGAGAAATTCAACATGCCCTAGCCGGAAGAAATAATAATAAAACAGAGTGAAATAAATAGGCGTCAACTCCTGCTTCAACCGACGGAACGATAATTAGATAAATGTCTCCTCTTTTGGAGCCTGTAAGACTAGTCCATTAGGCCCGAAGTATTTAAATGCCGCTATGACGTATCTGGTAACTTGTCGTGTCGCACCTTGTGAACATGTCCTGTCCGGAGGACGGCTGTTGACCGCCGGGGGACAGAGGACCGCCCTCGTTCCGTCCGGCTCCGGTGCGGTCCGACTGCTCCTGACCGATCACTGAGGAAAGAAAAAAATACAGGTCAGTGGCTGATAAGCGGTCCGACTGCTCCAGACCGATCACTGGAGAGTGAAAACACCGGTTATTGAACACAAACGGTTAGAGTGCTTTTGACCTATAACTGCAGAGTGAATACCACCAGTTTTTTTGTTATATTCAGACTGCTCCTGTCCGGTCATTGCAGGGGAAAATACTGGTCATTGGCTAATAAGTGGATAAACACGGTCAAACCACTATTGCCCGATAAGTCCGGAATAAAACACCGGTCATTCACTGATAAAAGACGTATGCAGTCAGACCGAGACGTCTTCGGTCCTTTCACTGGACACTGCAGCATGAAAACATCGGCCAGGGGAATAATTGCTAGACATACGGTCAGACGGCTCCTGGCTCCTTCATCAGATTCAGGACACTGCCGAGTTCCACATGCAAAAGCTAGTCAACGAATGAAAATCAGACATTACCTTCGTCATCAATCATCCGGCGGGCTGAATAGGAACAGAGAATAGACGAATTAAAGCTCAAAGCACGCATCGTATGTTCCCAAAGTCTAGCATAGCTAGTTTTTCTCGCGTTTTTTTCACTGTTTTGGACGTAAATCGCGTCGTCTAAAGACGCATATACATTATATTGCACGTATCTGTCTAGACTTGAAAGTAAAGGCTCACGATTATATCTTCTTACGTGCACTTGAATGCATGATGTCTGTAATGTATGACTGCATGTTTTAGTCATGACTGACCGTGATCGAGGCACATGAGCTCCATGAGGTCGGTGTCGTCGCGTCCGTCGTTGCCTCGCAGCTCCGGTGACACGCTGAGGCTGTCGTCCTCCAGCAGGTAGCAGTCGCCAGTGCCAGTGGCGTTGTTGGTCAGCTTGAACTCCGCGGCCCGGCAGAAGATCCTGAGGGTCAGCGGCATCGGGTCAGTGGCGATGCAGTCTTTGCTAATGACTACCATGTCAACCATAACTAACGACTTAACCGTTCAAATATGGCACAACATTGAGAAACAAATGTATTGAAATTATTGTCGTCTAATTTGATGATCAGGTATCCTACATGACCGTCTTTGCAAACAGAGAAAACAATATACCAAATGATCATGCTCGTGGCCGAATGCCGATCACACTATCGAACACTGCAGAATCACGTTCTGAGCCACTTACTGTGCGTGCTCGGCGCACATGCTCTTGCACTCGCTGCGGGTGACCTCCCGCTTCCTGTAAGGTTTGTTGGAGGTGTACAGGGAGCGTCTGGCCTCCTCGACGAAGACGAGGTGATCAGGCTGCTGACACCGGCGGCTCTCTGAAACGGACAGAGCTGCCCTCAGACGTGTAGACGTTTAGCGGCGTATTGCTTGGATAATTGGTGAAGAGAGATATTTACAGTTCGGTTTCTCCCAGAAAGGACTTTCCAACAACGTATCGAAAGAGGATATCTTTTCCTTTTCCGATTGCATGAAGTTATGACGTCCAGCGACTGAAATGGGTTATGTGACGTGAATGTTCACTGGAGACACAGTTTATCGATGCATATTCTCACTATCGAGACAAAGACTCTCGATGCATCTATTGTCGACTACAGAATGATGTTCCACTCCTCAGAAGCTATCAGTTGACCGGAGCGCTAAGTTGTGCCGTTTATCACGCAATTAAGCGTGTCGATTGTGAGCATTGGGACAAAGCTATAATTTGTGAACTCAGCTCGTGTGATGCGGCACAGCCTACCACGCCAGGCAAATAATGGTCTGTGAAAAGTGGAACATCATTCTGTAGTCGACTATACTCACTCTCGAGACAAAGTTTCTCGCTGCATGTACTCACTCTCGAGACAGAGGTTCTCGATGTACTCCTCGTCGCGCTGTTCGACAAACAGGTTCGGAGCCGAGCGCCAGGTGATGGGGCACATGTAGCACGTGCGGTTCTTGGAGTTGTAAGAGGCCGAGCGACACACCTCGCTGGACTCGAGGCACCTGGACGGCAGCCGAGCGACGTAGTGAGTCACCGGGAAAGTCTCACTTTTATAAAGGCATTCATAGCTACTTTCTGTCCAAGGGACTTCGGAGAGTAGGCGGAGTGCCTATCATTTCTTGGATAAAAGGGTATCTTTTTTATATAACCTGATCGAGTTAAGTCAAATATAATTTGTATCATGTAAGCGTTATTCGTTCTCCACTGCTTACCTCCGCTCACACTCCAACCGATTTTCGACTTGGCTCTCGATGCAGTTATTGTTCTTCGGCCTAAAGCTCTTGTTGATGAGCCGCTCGAAGACGTACATCCTTCCCGGACAGTGTTGCTGTACCGCTTCCGCTGTGGACAACGGCGCCCGGTCAGTGGTGGTCAGTTCAGTCGGCGTGTGGACGAGCACCAGAAGAACTCGAAACCCGAGAGATCAGCCCGTCCGCTCCCACTCCCACCGTCACCGTGCGGTATTTACGGCTGTTTTGAGGTAAACGGCTCCAGATTGCAACCTCCTAGCCACCCGTGATTCTGCTGGCTACTGCAGTAAGCACTCACCTGGCATGCAGATCTTGTTGAGATGGATGTTGCCAGTCTTTTGCAGGAGGTTACCAATGCCGTCCGGCTTGGCCTTTTCCTCGGTGAGATAGCATGCCGACGGGTCGTACTTGCCGTCTCCGTATGGTGCACCTGCGAGAGCAAACATTTGAATTTTAGAGATAAATGTAAGATAACGATCATTTATGGTATTGTTCTGATTGAACGAAGAAAGTTTGACATTGCTGAACAAGTCGTTCCATTTCCCAACATCTGCAGAGAAGGGCTGCCGGCTGACCTGGGCTGTAGTCGATGGAGCCGCATGGTCGGATCAGGTTGTCTTTGACGCTCTTTCCGGCGATGCACGACGTCTGACACTGCTCCAGCAGGGTGAGGGGCTGTTCTTCCTTTGTGAGCTGCCGGACAGAAAATGAAGTCAGCGGACGTCAATTTTCGGACTTTACCGACATTATAACGTCGGGAGTCACGCACTTCGAGTTATGCGGCGATTTCTATATTGCGATAGTTCAAAATGATAAAATGCTCATTACATAACCATCCTTTCGCATATCTACAAAGTAATAGGGTGGGATGATATGAGACCTGAGGCCATGTCGTTTTATGTATAGGGACAAAACCACCTGAGTGAGAAGTTGATCATATGAGCGGCGTCTTCCCTTCCTGTCGGTATCCGGACACGTTACTCACATAGTCTCGGTCATATCCTTCCAGGTGATATCCGGGCACACGTTCAAACACCAGCTGTCCATTGCCGTTGTTACAGTTGCTCATCTCAGGCGCCGCAGCTGAAAAAAGGAGGAAGTCGTTAGTAAAAGGGAGATAGGGCATGACTGTCGTGTGAGCAGCACGGGTGTGTTGCCGCACCTGGCACATTTCCCGCACGGATCCGGCTACTGCTGCAATTTTTCCCGAAGGCGGACTGCTTATAATGATATAATTATCTGCAGAGTCTGAGCCGGAACATTCAATCGGAGCGAGAGCTAAAGCCGTTTAAATTTCAATGGGGCTGTGGTTTGCAAATATTCCTAGTAAGCGGGCAGTGATTATGAATATTCATTTGAACCTAAAGTGGTTTTATCCATTGGAGTCACCATTTCTCTTCATTGCTCGGAATTCAGCGAATTTATGTAAATTCCGAGCCACGTGTTAGCTTCTGATGCCGCTGGGGACCGTTTCAGCGCGGCTCTTTGTCCGGTTGTCACTGCGGTGTCTGTGTCCGATTATGGGGTGGGAGCGCAGGGCCGGCCGGGCCGGGGCGGGGCGGCGGGAGCGGCGGGAGCGGCCCCGTTAGCCGGCCGCCGGCCGGATGTGCCGCCGGTCACTTCCGGCCGGCGCGGGACACGCCCTGGGGGAGCGGTCGGCCGCCGGCGCCGCCCCGCCCGCCGCACCGCGGACCAGGTCACTGACAGTAATCCCAGCCCGGCCCGACGGTGTGATGAGAGAATCTGATCGAAACCGCGTCACCAGGCGCCGTACGGTGGCGAGTAAAAGCATAGGATTCAAGGGAGGATCCGAGGTAGTGACTTGGTCATGACGTTTGGTCCTGACAGATGATTTGCTAATGATCGGGTAATTAAGAGCTGAGTTCCGGCCGCCAAGCTGACTCAACCGCCCGTCGGTAGCCGTGCCAAGGCCAGCCGACATAGCGCATACCTGCATAGCTACCCATTAGCTGGTCATTGATGATAATTAGTGAAGATAAGATTAGGTAAGCTGTTTGCAACCTAATGGACATAATGATGCGTTTTTATTCGCAATTCTTAACAGCGGATGGCTGGGAGAATATGACTGCAGAAAAAGTGAGACATTTGCAGCCAACCGATAAAAAATCGCACATTTCTGCACGAAACTAATTGGCATGCGTCACTACCGAGCGGATTCCTTTTCTGGTCGAGTGGTACCGCGAGGCATCAGGGTACTGGAATGATACATATATTTGGTGCGCAAAAGTCAAGGCTATATAAACCAAGGTAGCTGCAATATTGTTTACCGTTTATTTAGCATAATGTCCGTTTTAAGTGTTTTTTACTATTTGATTTAAGCAAAGATCTTAATAATACGCATTCCAGAACATTTCTAATCACTCAGGTGTAATTTTGTTTAGGAGGCATATTTAAGCGAAAAAAGCGATTAATAGAGATCTGTCCCACTTCTGTCGAGCTGCCTGCTAAGTCTGCTGTTGCTACATATCTGTAAGAATCTTGGCTGTTGCTAATAAAAAGGCAAACCAAGATAATCTGACCTCGGTTGAACATTGATAAATGGTAAGTGAAGTAACCCTTTCCTTGTGGCCTCAAAAATTCCACGGTACGTTCAAAATTATTGTTACGTCTGCCGTTTGTTGCTAAGTGGCCTTGGAACCTAGTGGGCGGAGTTGCTATCCCCGGAGCGTGGAAAACGTTCCCAGCCGGATACGGATTACAGGATTTTCTGCTGCTTAATTGGGCTATAGCACTGATATAACTTTCTCTTTTATTGGGCAATGTGGGCAAGATAAAGTCTCTGCATAGTGCATGCATGCGTTCTTCGAAGACGTTAAAGCCGGCTTTTTCTTTAGGAAACTGAAACAAATAACTAACAAACTATAATTTTTTCAGTATTCGCTAATGCATTTTAGGTATGTCAGGACTAGAGCACACCTGTCCGCGGGCTCAATGTCTTGATAAGTTAATAGCCGTTTTCACGACGGGTTATCTGGCCAATGCACCAAACTTGACGAAAGCTATACCAAATCTCTTTTTCAACAAACATCTTCAGGGCATGACAGTGCTTTAATAGAAAATAATGCCCGATAATTAAGAAGAAAAATCAGGCATATAAGCAACTGCGCAACCCAAGCTAATAACTTTAAGAAACATGATTAACCCAATTTATGGCTGATAATGTCTAATGACTTAAAAAAAAATCTGGCATATAAGCATCTGTGTAACCAAGCTTCTAAGAAACACAGTTAACCTAATTTGACAAAATTTGCGACAAACCTGTACCAAATCTGCATCATATCTACACCAAATGTGCACCAAATGTGTATCAGATGGCCGTCGTAAAAACGACCACTGTTTCGCTTCGTTTACTTACTGGCCACGCATGACTACAAACCTACTATCGTGCTCAACCCATTAGCGTCGCCACGGGGGCGGGGGGGGGGGGGGGCAAGCGGGGCAGCTTGCCCCCACCTCCGATTGGATACCCCTTGAGATGGATACAGATCTGATAAGATTTAGGGGTCGGGGAAAATGTGGTTAGTTTTCTGACGATGCCGTGAGGTCGAACCCGGTCGGAGCCTGCGATTCTACCCAGAGACATAGGCGGCGGAACGGGGAGGGCACCGGGGCACCGTGCCCCCCTTGATTTTGGCATTTTAACGTTAGCCCTATGCCTATGCCATTCTTTCCATGCAACGCCCATAGGGCCTATGGGCGTTGCATGGAAAGAATGGGACCAAAAGTCGGCAGTGCCCCCCCCCCCCCTTAATTGAAGGTGTTTCGCCGCTACTGCCAAGAGACAGAGTCGAAGTCACCAAAATCTTCGACTCCGACTCTAGACTCGCAGATGTCAATGCTTTATTTCAATCCATGTTCCTAGTAGTGATTCTCAATCACATTTCACCTACAGCCGATTCTTACTATGTAGTTGTGAAAGTGCTGACACAAAATTTTCGTTCATAGCGTGACGCGAAATCTTTGGGGCGTGACGCGAAATCTTCGGGGCCACCCGAAGATTTCTTTCGAAGTTCGGGTCTTTCCCAACTCTGGTTAAATTTCTGCGACAGGTTTAAATGCCGTTCAAGTGCCGCAGGGCTAATGCTAATGAATTTTTCACGCAGGCTCCTAAGGAACTCCAAACCGGCCTCTGAGAGCCCCACTGGTGCCCATATTCTCTGAGTGCCCATGTGGGGATCTTTGAGGACCTTATGCGTAGATCTATCATTAAGGGACACACGGATCTTTGAGGATGCCTTCGAAAATTTCTGGATAACCTTTACTGCAGCCTCTGATAGCTCAGCTAGCCGAGCTCTTGAGACGACAGATCTAGCTGACCCCAAGCCGGCGTCTTAGTGATCACGACTCACGGGTGCCTTTGAGGATCCCAAGTCCCAAATAATGTTTCTGATGTCCCAACGTAGGGTCCTTTGGATTCGACACAGACCCCGAGGGTTCACGCTGTTATTTGAGGGCTCACCCTGGTCTCTTAGCGCACGCCGCCCACACTGGCTTCTAAGGGACCCACCTGGAGCTCGGAAAGCCACATATATGTTAGATCTTTGGGATCAGGCTTCTGAAAGACCACCCTGACCCTGAGTGACCCACAATGGTCTGAGAATCCCAAGCCCACCTCTAACGGATCCCTTGCCGCTATGCCGTGCGAAATTTTTGGTTCCGTATTTGTTCACGTTTTGCAGCGCTTCCCCACGCACGAATATCGGGAGATTGTAACAAAACACTTTCTCTCACTGGAGCAAAGATAAATAGTAAATACCTTACTTCCGATTCACACTTCCGACATTCACTCTCCGCGGAATGCCTACTTCGCTATAATCAGTGGCTGTCTTAGCCCTCGCCTGAATGAGGGGGGGGGGGATCGAACGGACCCCCTCGTTTTTTTGCGAATAAATATCGTAAAAAGCGGCCGATCACAACGAAAATTTCAGTGCCCTCGAGTTTATCAATTTTACACATATTCTAAAAATTTCATGACACTGTGTCAAATGAAGTTTGACCTGTGACTTATTTCTCGAGACTATGTTTGTACAATACCGTGATTTGGCTATGTCGGCTCATATTATCCGCGTGTTTGCAGTCTTTTGTGGTTTTAAACGCTCAAACATGTGAAATGATGTTGGTCCAATGTATTATGGTGGGTGTCAAGGTCACGTGAAGGTCAGGCCAGGTGATTGACCTTTGATGAGCTCGGTTCACTTTTTCGAGTTTTACATGTTTCTATGGTAGTTTGTGGACCTGATTTCGAATGTAGCAACCATTTGAACATTTACGAAGCAGTTTTGGATCCTTCGTAACATGTTACGAATCTGTCAGTGGCGGTTGACACCTACTATGAATACCCGGCAGGACGCCCATTGGTTGACCTGACTTGACCTAACCCGACCTGGCCTACATGCATGAAGATCAAAACTAACATGAAATTCGTGATCAACACCCCGGAAAAAGCCCTTAACAACCTCACTTTACGATGTTCTAGCAGGTCCCGATTTACCCGACTATGGGTCATTGACCTAACCTGGAAGGTCAATCAACGACCCCCCAAACCCAAAATCCCTGGTGACGCCTATCGGCTTAAGGGTCAACCACCTAAAATATTAGTAGCTTATAGAGAATAAACACAAGACGTGCACCTTATCGATATTTTTGGCACAACCATTCGGCTTATATATAGTGCGTCATTGTTATGAAGAGTCCTAGTTTCCTGCAGAACATGACTTTCAAATGCCAATCGAGGATAATAAGTGTTGACTCATTTGTTTTGCGAGACCGTTCAAAGGATTGCTTGGCATACTGCATTACGGATACACACGTAAGCTCTCCTCGGCCGAGGGAAGGAGGGCTGAGCCAACCGTAACGCTTCCGTCCGATTTATTAGAGTTTGGAACGTTCGAGAGAACTATATAGACAGCCGAAATCTGTGATACCTGGCATTTGATTCGAGCCGGAAGCTTTATAATTGATGTCATCTTCAATTCAAGGCATCCACCTTTAAAGGGACTATCCCACCTTTAACATGGGGTTTGAGTTGAGATAGCCAAGTTTGCGGCGAGGTTCAGAAACCA